ACACTGTGTATGTCATACGATTCTTAAATCTCTCAAACCAACCTTTGCTGGCTTAAATTCACCAATATGAGCACTAGTTCCAGGCATTTTTCCCTGTTCACCTGGGTGTTAGTCGACTGGTGTGGGTTGCATCCTGGGAGACAAGATTAAGGACCCAATGGAAAAAAAGTTACAGTCTTCGATGACACTGACTTTTTTTGGGTTATCCTGGGTGGCAAATCCTCTGGGGTTAATTGTTTCTTGGTATTCTCAATAAGCCACACCAACAACGGTGCTACAGCAGCAGCAGCAGCAGCAGCAGCAGCTGACAGTGCTACAGCAGCAGCAGACGATGCTACAGCAGCAGCAGACGATGCTACAGCAGCAGCAGACGATGCTACAGCAGCAGCAGACGATGCTACAGCAGCAGCAGACGGTACTACAGCAGCAGCAGCAGCTGACGGTGGTACAGCAGCAGCAGATGACAGTGCTACAGCAGCAGCAGACGATGCTACAGCAGCAGCAGACGATGCTACAGCAGCAGCAGACGATGCTACAGCAGCAGCAGATGGTACTACAGCAGCAGCAGCAGCTGACGGTGGTAAAGCAGCAGCAGCAGCTGTACCACCAATAGTAGCGATGGTTGATTGGGGTTTATTATACACCTGGCCAGCTCGGAGACACGCACTCCACTTTCGTACTTATCAAGATCTTTTTCTTCATCTCTATAGTAATTCTCACCCTTATTGCTGTAGGGTTGGCACTAGAAGCTTTCTTGGGGCCCATGGTCACTTATTTGGCAGATAAAATCACCAAAAACACTGTAATAATACGAAATGTTCCGATTGTATGCTTAGATGTTACTGCGGAGGCTGGCTGGTAAACAATGCCACCGGCGGCACATGTGAGGCTGGCTAAGGGCGCACATTGGACGCGTCTCGGACGAAGAGCGGTGAGCGGGTTTTTGAGCGGTATGTGAGGCAAAATTTTTGCGATAAAAGCAAGCGGTATGCGGATTGTATGTTATATGATGCCGACGGTATGCGGGGGTCCACTGTACATGTACGACTCTGACAGTCAAAAGGTTAATTGGATTTATATTATTTCTTATGGGAAATATTGCTTCAGTTTTCACACGATTCAGTTTATCGTCAGACTTTTTGGAACAGATTAATCACAAAAACAGAGGTTCCACTGTATAAAATTGACTCACAAAAATCATAATATCATGATTGCAAACACACCCCACCTGTTCCTTAGTTTAATATAAAATTGAATTTACAGAATTGGACATAAAATTTTCTTGGGTATACTATATTAGGGCCCCACTTATATGGCAGGTTAGGTTCCAGGCTACCGCTGGAGAGTGGACATCACCATAAAGCAGAATATCCTTTTTTTTCCACTTACATGTTAGTGTAAACTTATCTTGCCAGATAACAAGTTTATACTAACATACATTAAGTTAGCAGTAGAACTAGGCATTAAAAAACAATAAAAAGTAAAATACACACACAGTACCATAAAATATTTGTAGTCCTAATGTAGAGTGAGAGGTGCACAGTATTTGTAGGAAGTCAGGTGTGGGAGGTATGGTAGCCCGCCTGGCCACATCACCCACACATAATATACTACAATATTTAAAATGCCCTAGAGCAATAAAATGCATACACAGTGCACTCATTACTTACCTTAAAATATTTGTAGTTTTAATGAGGTGAGTAGTATTTATTTGTAGGAAGTCAGATGTGAGAGGAATGGTAGCCCACCTGGCCACCCCACCCACACGTAATACTATACTACAACATTTAAAGTGCCCTAGAGTGATAAAATGCATATACAGTACACTCATTACTTAAAATATTTGTAGGCTTAATTAATGTAGGGTGAGAGGTGAGTAAATAAGATAAAATGAATAAACAAGAGAGAGAGAGAGAGAGAACAAGTGAATGAGAGAGAATAACCATAAACAAGCAGACAAATGTTCTGGTTATGGTTGATACACATTCATTTCCATGTTTGTGAAGCTTATACCATAATATAAACACCTTACATTGTGTACAAGTTGTCTCCATGTTGGTACAGTAGAATGAATAAAGAGTAACACTCACATTTTCATGTACACACCATTTTTAGAATGAAAGATGCTCTGAAGGCACATGAATAATTTTCTACAGCTACCCCCAGTAATACTATTGTGTATGCATTTTCTTTGGTGTTGAACTAGAGAAAACGTTATTCTTTCTGACTCTCCGACAGGCTGACTGGAAAAAATCTCATATTTATGTTAATTTATTCTACTGTGGAGTGTATTTATTATGTTTATATGTTACATAGCATATTTATTATATAATTTTGAAAAAAATAGAGATGGATTAATGAAAATGTCCATATTAATTTAATATACAACATTTAGTGTGCCTCAGAGTGATTATTATTGTGTATTGTGGTGCATTGAGGTATGTGTGGAGTCAAAAAACGTTATCTATGGAGGCAAAGAAGGGAATGTATGAAAGTATAGTAGTACCAACACTCTTATATGGGTGTGAAGCTTGGGTGGTAAATGCAGCAGCGAGGAGACGGTTGGAGGCAGTGGAGATGTCTTGTCTAAGGGCAATGTGTGGTGTAAATATTATGCAGAAAATTCGGAGTGTGGAAATTAGGAAAAGGTGTGGAGTTAATAAAAGTATAGTCAGAGGGCAGAAGAGGGGTTGTTGAGGTGGTTTGGTCATTTAGAGAGAATGGATCAAAGTAGAATGACATGGGAAGCATATAAATCTATTGGGGAAGGAAGGCGAGTAGGGGTCGTCCTCAAAAGGTTGGAGAGAGGGGGTAAAGGAGGTTTTGTGGGCGAGGGGCTTGGACTTCCAGCAAGCGTGCGTGAGCGTGTTAGATAGGGGTGAATGGAGTCGAATGGTACTTGGGACCTGACGATCTGTTGGAGTGTGAGCAGGGTAATATTTAGTGAAGGGATTCAGGGAAACCGGTTATTTTCATGTAGTCGGACTTGAGTCCTGGAAATGGGAAGTACAATGCCTGCACTTTAAAGGAGGAGTTTGGGATATTGGCGGTTTGGAGGGATATGTTGTGTATCTTTATACATATATGCTTCTAAACTGTTGTATTCTGAGCACCTCTGCAAAAACAGTGATTATGTGTGAGTGTGGTGAAAGTGTTAAATGATGATGAAAGCATTTTCTTTTTTGGGTCACCCTGCTTCGGTGGGAGATGGCCGACTTGTTAAAAAAAAAAAAAAAAAAAAAAATATTAATATGGCATCTTCAAGATTTAGTGATTTTAATATGTACCTGCACACCACCAGTGTGTGTAAGTTTATTAAGTATAAGTATAATTATGAGAGCATATACTAACCTTTGCAACTTTTCTAAAGAAAAGTTGCAAAGGTTAGTGGACGAGCTTGGGAGGGTGTGTAAAGGTAGAAAGTTGAAGGTGAAAATAGATAGGAGTAAGGTGATGAGGATATCAAACGATTTAGATAAAGAAAAATTGGAAATCACAATGGAGTGAGGGAGTATGGAAGAAGTGAATGTTTCCAGATATTTGGGAGTTAACTTATCAGCGGATGGGTTTATGAAGGATGAGGTTAACCATAGAATTGATGAAGAAAAAAAGGTGAGTTGTACGTTTTTTGTGGAGACAAAAAATGTTATATATTGAGGCAAAGAAGGGAATGTATGAAAGTATAGTGGTACCAACACTTACATGGGTGTGAAGCTGGGTTGTAAATGCTGCGGTGAGGAGGCGGCTGGGGGCAGTGGAGATGTCTAAGGGCAATGTGTGGTGTAAATATTATGCAGAGAATTCGGAGTGTGGAAATTAGGAGGAGTTGGGGAATTACTAAAAGTATTGGTCAGAGGGCTGAAAAAGGGTTATTGAGGTGGTTTGGTCATTTAGAGAGAATGAATCAAAGTAGAATGACTTGGAGAGCGTATAAATCTTTAGGGGAAGGAAGGAGGGGTAGGGGTTGTCCTCGAAAAGGTTGGAGGGAGGGGGTAAAGGAGGTTTTGTGGGCGAGAGGCTTGGACTTCCAGCAAGTGTGTGTGAGCGTGTTAGATAGGAGTGAATGGAGACGAATGTTTTTTGGGACCCGACGAGCTGTTGGAGTATGAGCAAGGTAATATTTAGTGAAGGGATTTAGGGAAACCAGTTAGCCAGACTTGAGTCCTGGAAATGGGAAGTATGGTGCCTGCACTTTAAAGGAGAGGTTTGGGATATTGACAGTCTAGAGGGACTTCTAAACTGTTATATCCGAGTGCCTCTGCACTCAGATATAACAGTTGAGGTGAGTGTTGAATGATGATGAAAGTATTTTCTTTCTTTTTGGGGCACCCTGCCTCGGTGGGAGACAGCCGACTTGTTGAAAAAAAATATATGTAAAATATGAAATAACTTTAAAACACTTGAAATTTTGGAAAGTTTCCAGATGTAGTGGAGAGATGCAAGAATGCAAACAAACCCAGTGTGCATGGAGACCATATTAGCAAGTGAGGTGGGGGAGGGGAGCCATATAGCGAGTTTTGGTCATAGTTTAAAATGTCTATACAGTGGACCCCCGCATAACGATTACCTCCGAATGCGACCAATTATGTAAGTGTATTTATGTAAGTGCGTGTGTACGTGTATGTTTGGGGGTCTGAAATGGACTAATCTACTTCACAATATTCCTTATGGGAACAAATTCGGTCAGTACTGGCACCTGAACATACTTCTGGAGTGAAAAAATATCGTTAACCGGGGGTCCACTGTATTAGAGAAATGCTGTAAGGTGAAACGCCGTAAAACGGGGCCCTGCTGTACCCCTAACGCCTTTTAAACTTTGCACATGTAAATGACTCGATATCTAAAATAATTTTGACTCCATTTCTTGAGTATTTTGTTTTCACTCGCATATAATTCTGTATAACTAAAATTAAAAAATAATGTTTATCTATTTCAATTATTGGTTCAGATTAATATGTAAAATATATATTATTTTTCAAGGTAATTTTATTTGTCAACAGCTTGAATCTATGCAAGAAGCCATGAGTATTAACAGTAAAGACAAGCAAATTATAACAGGTGCCATCAGAAGTAGTCATCAGTCAGGTGAGAATGTGACAGAAATATACACTTATTCCGCTCCATTCATGCTTTTGCAAAAAAAAAAATATTGAAATAATACCTTTTTAAAAAAAAAGATATTGAAATAATACTTTTGTAAAAAAGATGTTGAAATAGTCCTTTTTCCTTGTATTATGTATTTGGATTTTTGTGCTTCCATTAGCTTTGCTGTGTTTGATGTATTGTACACGATATGTAAAGTATTTTGTTTCTAAAGTGTTTCTTGTATGTGACTACATATTTTATATTTAATCCCAGAACTTTTAACAAACTTCTTTCAAGAGTTTTTTTTTTTTTTTTTTTTTTTTTTTTTTTTTATGTAGTCTTGAGCCTGATCTCCCAAGTGATGCAGGCAGGACAGGTTAGCAATGTGATCAAGGAGGTGGTGCTCAAGACCTTAAATGCATGGCTCAAGCTCTCCCTCCCCCTCTCTGAGACGAGGGACCTACTAGTGGCTCTCATACCATACTCCAACTATGCCCTTCTCTGTGAAGTGAGTGAGACATGCCAGTGGAGTAATAGTTTCAAGTAGGTTGCATGAGTATAAAAGTTAATATCATTGCACTTCATTAAGTATCTTAACAATTAGACCATTTTCATCTTGATAGTCTGAATTTAAGATCCAGTAATTAATTTATTTTTACAAATTTCTTCAACTAAAGCCTGTGATGGATGCCATAAGGACAGCAGTGACGGACGTTGGCACTTACAACATTCCCAACACAGTGATGGATTTTGTCACGCAAATGCTTGGTCTAACACCTGTGTTGGAAGAAGCACAACATGCTAACGATGAAGTAAGCAAACATCTCAAGTGTGTGTATTACTTTGATAAACTTGCTGAATGTTACATACAATACTGTACAACAATTTCTTTGTACACTATGTATATCTCCCTTGCACTTTCATAGACCAGAGAGGTACTTGCCTGAAAAGGAAGGAAAGTTATTGAAGGAAAAGCTCAGTGCTGTATGACCCTTGTGGATTTAGCACTTAATTTTTATTGTAATAATTATTTTGAAGGAAAAGCTCTTTTAAAGAACCTCTGGAAAGATATTTGAGGGTTAAAGTAAACAGGAATATTACATACAAAACTTAAGGTAGGTGGTGGGAGTATTTTAAAAGGTTTGCTTGAAATTTATGAAGTACAAGTGTAAATATGATTGGTTTTGATTATCTTTAATAATCCCTCTCATGTAACCTCTGAACAAATGTGCCAAATTTTATGCTTTATCACTGCATTGGGTATCATTTGATGTGTAATGCTCATGATATTGTATATTTTTATCAACACCATTTCATGTTAAAACTTTAATTCATGTTGCAGTCTGCTTTAAGAAGAATACTCAAAATCTGGTCAACAGCAAGCATAGACTGGTATAATTGCTGGTGGGAGATGATTCTCTTTTGTCTTTGCTTCTTAATCCATTACTTCTTCCTTTTTTGGTGCTCCGTTATCACCAGCATTTTTTTCATTAGTTGAGGCATTTTATTTTCACTAAGTTTTTCTAATAATTTTTCTTGAATGTTCTTCATTGTTAACCCCTTGCTAGTGGTATAATCCCCTTCACCTGACTCTTTATTGTTGTACACCATAAAAGACAAAAGAAAAGATGGGCATCTCCAAACACAGGTGAAAATAAACAGTGTATCCATCCTCAGCCATGGTCACCTCTGCTGCCTGATGTGGATGGAAGCTTCATATCTGGAAGTTGTTGGACTCTTAAAGTTTTCAAACTGCCCAACACTAAAGTTGCTCTCCTTCAAAAACTGACATTCTTGGCAAAAAGTTTTCAGAAAGATTGTGAGCATTCTGTCTTTTTACAACCCTACCAAGTGCAGCATCGTTTTTATTTTTTTCTTCTGTTCAGGTGTTTAACAAATCTTGTGTCTCACAATGATATACAATACTGACAAGTAGATAAATAAGACACATGCAACAGTTAAGTATCTCTATTCTGAAAAATTTCACCTACACAGTAGGATTCTTCAGTCAGATACAGAAACAGCAGTAGAGATGTAAAGACAGTGTAATCAAATCAGTCCATCATGCTCAAAGATATAGTTTTGTGGTGGTCAGTCCCTTACGCCCATATAAGAATGTTGGTACCACTATACTCTCATATATTAATCGTTTTGCCTCCATGGATAATGTTCTTTGTCTCCACAGATGCTTCATTTCACCACCCACCTTTTTCACTATCAGTTCTATGGTTCACTTCGTCTTTCATATACCCATCCACTGACAAGTCCACTTCCTACACACTCCCTCCTTCCAGTCTGATATCCAGTCTTTTGTTACCTAGCTCATTTGTTACCCTCATCACCTTGTTGTTTTCTATGTTCACTTTTAATTTCCTTTTATGTACTCTCCCAAATTCATCCACCAGCCTTTGCAACTTCTCTTCAGAATCTCCCAAAAGCAGTGTCATCAGAGTAAAACAACTGTGACAGCTCTCATTTTGTATTAGTTCCTGCATATTTTAACTCCTTCACCTCTCCCCAACATCTTAACATTCACTTCACCATCATTTTCATTATGTCGTATATCATATCTCGTATACTTATTTGTCCTCTTTTTCTTAAAATGTGTTGCCTATTAACAAACCTCTTTTATAAGAAGTTTAATTAACCCGTAAACAGTCCAAACAGATCTACGTTCACATGCGTAGTGCTCCAAAAGTAGATCTACGTTTTTTTTACATATTTTCAAATATAACAAAAAAAAAAAAGTAGATCAAAGTTTTTTACACGTTTTCAAATGTAAAAAAAAAAAAAAAGGATTACTTTTTTTACATACTTTCAAATGTTGAAAAAACGTATATATACGTTTGGACCGTTTACGGGTTAAAGGCCCCTATTAGCATTGACCCCTGGCTCCCCAAACTTACCTTTTACACGCTGTATGACAGTTTCTCCCACTTTAACATTGAGGGGCCCGCATCACAATTAATCTCTCATTTGGTTCAAAATTCCTTAGTTTTTCTTTTTATTTTTAGTAACTTATATTGGAGAAGGGGTTCCTAGCCTATTGCTCCTGGCATTTTAGTTGCCGTTTATGACATACATGGCTTATGGAGGAAGGATTCTAATTGCAAGACAACATTTGAAAGAATGATGAATAACAATGTTAATATGAAGTAGCAGTAGTACAACATCGTAATGTTTGATTTTTGAGCCACAAATATATCAAGAAGTACAGTGGACCCCTGGTTATCGTAATTAATCCGTTCCTGAGAGAGTGACCAAACCCGAATCTGACGATTTCGTAATTCATTTTCCCCATAAGAAATAATGTAAATCCAATTAATCCGTTCCAGACACCCACAAGTACTAAAAAAACAATTTTTTTACATGAAATATACATTTACCTACACAGAAAACAATAAGACATGCAGAATAAAACAATAATAAAATGACACTTACCTTTATTATAGACTTGTTGATGTATGGAAGATGGGAGAAGGGGAGAGGATGGAGGAGTTACTATTGTTTGGAAGGGAAAATCCCCTTCCATAAATACTTCAGGTACCAAGTTCTTTTCCGGGGTTACTTCCATCCTTTGTTTTTTAATGCCACTAGGACCAGCTTGAAAGTCACTGGACCCCTGTCGCTCAAAAAAGTGTTCCAGAGAGGTCTGTTTCTGGCGTATGTTAGGAATTGTGTTGGGAGACAGGACAAGGTAGTCCTTCAATATGGCACTAATATCAACTCTGCGGCTTATTTATCTAGCACAATTCATCTAATATGACATAATAAACAATATTAATAACATAGAAACATGATAAATACTCTAGAATGAATAAAATATGTTATATGTCTCTCTCCTTAACCCTTCCAGGGTTTCGGCTGTACTAGTACGGCTTACGCACCAGGGTTTTTGACGTACTAGTACACCTAAATTCTAGCGCCCTCAGATCTAGTGAGAGAAAGCTGGTAGGCCTACATATGAAAGAATGGGTCTATGTGGTCAGTTTGCGCAGTATAAAAAAAATCTTGCAGCACACAGTGCGTAATGAGAAAAAAAAAAAACTGTGTTTTTGGATTAAAACAGTGACTTTGCACTGTATTTTCGTATGGTATTTATTGTTGTACAGGTCTCCCTCAACATTCACGTTTTCAACTTTCACAGGCTTCACACATTCGCGAATTCCCAACCGCCAAATTCCCAGCCACCAAATTCCCAGCCGCCAAATCATATTTAAGTTTCCCGCCACCTGCGAGTCCCTACTACCCTCCCTCTGACCCCCGCAACTGGCAGCCAGCCCTCCCACCACTCAGTGTGGTGAGTGTTCTGTTTGTTCATTATTTGCTATTAAACTACAGTATAAATAATGTAAACCCATTCATGACTGCATATTGGAATGGCTATTTGGACAGGTATTAGATGGTGACATCATGTGTTTACTCTTAAACACTGCAAAGAATTAAACATTTCTGCTACAGCTAATAATAACAATAGTAATAATAATAATATGATATAATTGAAGAAGGAAATTGTACAAAAATACAAGGGAGTGGTTGACACATCGTCAGTGTGACTTTGTTTTTTGCTGGAGTGAACATTAGTCTCCCTGCTCTTCCAAACATTCACAATAAATTCATTGTGTTTGGTGCTTGTAGATTGAGTGTGACTGGAGTGGTAGAGGCAGTGATTGAGGCAATGGTATTTAATAACATACATGTTTAATAATAATACGTTATTAATAATATGTACTATTATTATTTATAACATGTTATTAAAATTAACATACAATGTTAATAATAATACATGTTATTAATAATATGTACTATTATTATTTATAACATATATGTTATTAAATACCACTGCCTCAACCGCTGAATTATGGTGAAATGTTTGGAAGAGCAGGGAGACTAATGTTCACTCCAGCATAAACAAAGTCACACTGACGATGTGTCAACCACTCCCTCGTATTTTGTACAATTTCCTTCTTCAATTATATCATATTTATTATTATTATTATTATTTTTTTTTTCAACAAGTCGGTCGTCTCCCACCGAGGCAGGGTGACCCAAAAAAGAAAGAAAATCCCCAAAAAGAAAATACTTTCATCATCATTCAACACTTTCAACCACACTCACACATTATCATGCTTTTGCAGAGGTGCTCAGAATACAACAGTTCAGAAGCATATACGCATAAAGATACACAACATATCCTCCAAACTGCCAATATCCCAAACCCCTCCTTTAAAGTGCAGGCATTGTACTTCCATTTCCAGGACTCAAGCCCGGGACTATATGAAAAAAACCCGGTTTCCCTGAATCCCTTCACTAAATATTACCCTGCTCACACTCCAACAGATCGTCAGGTCCCAAGTATCATTCGTCTCCATTCACTCCTATCTAACACGCTCATGCACGCTTGCTGGAAATCCAAGCCCCTCGCCCACAAAACCCCCTTTACCCCCTCTTCCAACCCTTTCGAGGACGACCCCTACCCCTCTTTCCTTCCCTTATTTGATTTATATGCTTTCCATGTCATTCTACTTTGATCCATTCTCTCTAAATGACCAAACCACCTCAACCCTCTTCTGCCCTCTGACTAATGCTTTTATTAACTCCACACCTTCTCCTAATTTCGCACTCCGAATTTTCTGCATAATATTTCACCACACATTGCCCTTAGACAGGACATCTCCACTGCCTCCAACCGTCTCCTCGCTGCTGCATTTACCACCCAAGCTTCACATCCATATAAGAGTGTTGGTACTACTATACTTTCATACATTCCCTTCTTTGCCTCCATAGATAACATTTTTTGACTCCACATATA